TTTTCAAATCGTGCCATGGGATCTTTAACGTCAACTGAAGAGACAGATGGGACCTCGGTTTTATGACATTAGAAGTGTTCCCTAGTCAAGGTGCAGTGGATAAATCTTTGTCGATTGGATTCGTTGCTGTAGCGTTCCATATAATAAGGATAAATGGATTGTGCTGCAAGTTTAAACATGAAGCTGAACCATTCTTTGCATGGGTGTGGTTCAAACGATGGGCCTGACTCTTCAGACTTGATTTGTAGTAGCTATAAAGGAAGAGTTGAGATTAGGTGGGGAAAATACAGTATGCAATGTGATAATTATGCAATGGTCAGAGAACATGGTTGGAACGTGCCTTTAAAATCTGTCTTCATGTCAGGTTTTGGGCTAACTACCCCTTTTGACCTCTGGAGAATGGCTTTGACCACAGGTTTTGCAGATTCAAGAGTGATTCCTTTTTATCTTTGGTCAGCCGATGTCTGACACGTGCTGAAACACATCACCATGCTTAAGGTTATGTAAATCACAGAGCTCCATGTATGTATGTCACCCACAGGAATGAAATGCACACTCTCTCCCTGGAGGGACGCACCTTACGTACTTTATTCTGAAGCATTTTAGGCACAGGTTTGGCAAGAGCCAAGGCTTGGGGACACCAGAGTGTGTTCTGAGATACTGCTGCAGTTTAACAACATAGGTTGCCATGGTGAGCAGGGTCTGGCAAGCTTCAAGTTGTTTGTCCAGCTAGGAACAACCTACACATTAGAACTAAGAGACGCTACCCTACGTGGAGGGCGATATATAAATGCAATATGCTGTTGTTGTTGTTGTTGTTGAGTGGGAAGGATCCCTGCCCCCAATGACGAATCTGCCCTTCCAAAGTTGTGCTGATGAGCCAGGCTGGTTGGGCTGTCATCAGCAGTGGTCTGGAGTGTCGCAGACCTGTCTGGCTCAGGAACTGGGTTATCGAGACCACTACAGAGGGTTGCCTTGATTCTGGCGTTCCATTACCAAACTTGTCACATTGGAACCACCTTGGCTCTGAGAAGACCTTACTTACCCCCTACCACAAGGGGAGGGTGGTCGGTAGATGCTAAGAGCGACTTCATATTTTCAACTGAGTAAGGATTAGGGCCTGTAGTTATTCCTGGCTTTGGGAATATCACTTAAACTCTGTTACATCAGATATATCATCTCAAATTGTAAACTTTGTTAGGAGACTCCCTCCACTATCGCTACCACGATGTACCCCGTTCCCTTTCTAAAATCTATCAGAAAAATTGCTGGGAAAGGAGTTGTCAGGAATTTCAATTAGTATTTTCAACATTTTGATCAGCTCTGGAAAAGTTGATCAGCTTTCAAAAACCATCTATGGATTAAAAATTAAAGTATATAGTTTTCCTGGCTAGCTGCTGAAACTTGAACATCAACAAAGAATGTTGACACATGTAGACAGAGATCATTTAAAATAAAGTACTGGATTCTGTACATTTCCAGCACACAAGAGTTATCTAAACTGGCAGGTCATGAGTCATACCAAACGTTGAGTAATGTGGAGTGCATTTGATGGCATACGCAGAATAAATGACAGCCTACTTTGGTAGCACCTTCTGCATGGCCATCTTTCACAGCAACAGAGCCATCTAGCGTTCCTTTAGGGGTAAACAGCAATAACATTTAGCAGATATCTCAAAGCAGCAGGCAGCTCTAAAAATATCCTGTTCAGAAATATGCAGTCACGACACTTCACAGTAAGATTCTGTGAAGTGCCTTGAGGCGGCTTGACAACGTAATAAGGCTATATCAAAGGCAAGGATTATTATATATTATATTACCAGCAGCTCACTCACAAAAAAAGGCAGTTTCCAGGTGCCTCATGATGTTAGATCTCACATTTGTCAGTAAATCAACTTTCTTCCCCTTTTAAATTAATTATAATTATTAATATTCATGTATACATTAATATATACAATATAGTGTCATGTGGCCAATCTTTGTGGGAGCCTAGGTAGTGAGTGCTTCTTGACAGACTGTTCTGTAATTAATGGCATCATAGCCAAGTCCAATCTAAGTCATTGCTTATATAATGTCCAGTGTCAGCTTCTAAAGTCCTATTACCGCTAAGTTTTTTTTCTATTGTACGCTGACCAACAACTGAAACATGAGGAAGAATGATGATAATTGTATTTGGAAGTGCTTAATTGTATTCAGTACAAGTGTTTACCTGTATTTAGACGTCCAGAGTATCGATGTAAGCATCATCATTTTCAATATCTTCCGTAACATGGATAGAGTGACGAGGAGGTTACTGGTATCAGACATTGTTACACTCGACTCATCTGCAACAGAAAATAAAAATTCATGTTAAGAAGAAAAACGAAACAAAATAGGGACACTAGGACTTTGTGGACACCCTGTAGATTTTTGATGTAGAATGACACAGCAAAAGGTAGACAGTTGTCTGGTACTCTCTCAAAAGAGATAAAGGCATAAATAAACAACGCATCTTGGGATCCAAACAACCATGTCGACCTTGTAATAATATTAATCCTTGCATTTAATATAGGACCTGTCATGTTGAAAGGATATCTCAAAGCATTTCACCATGGTGTCCTGTAGCTCAGTGGTCAGAGCACTTGCCTCACAAGCGAGAGACGTGGGTTCAATTCCCGGCAGGGCGAAACCTTGGGCAAGTTTCCTTATTCCACACGTCTGATAATAATCCCTCAAGAAAAAAAACAATAATAATTTGGTCACTTCAATCCAGAACTGTTTGTGGGACACTGCTGTATGCAATTGTCTGCCGTGTTTCGCCCACAAAAATGCAGTCAATTCACTTTACAGTATATTCTGTGAAGCGCTTTAAGATGTCTAGAAAACGTGAAAAGCGCTATATCAAATTCAAGGATTAAAGTGTAGTGACTGCATTTTGTAGGTGAGTTTAATCAATATAATACAAGATTTTTAAAATATCAGAATGTCTATCAAATAAGTTTTGTTTGGGGGTAGGTGTTATTCCTCAGGGTTATCCAAAGGCCGAGTAGGTCAAGGCACAATTAGGTGTAGTACTGAATCATGCCGACCAGAAGGCTGCAGATATGATTTGGCTGATTCTGAGTCTATGCTGAGTTGGATGTAAACACCAGGGCAGCCACAATTGGTCCCAAGTTTTCTGAGTTGCGTGGGGCAAAATCAGGCAGAATTCTCACTCTGATTGCTATCTGATCAACTGTGCTCTATAATGTGTACATGTATGCTGGATGACAACAGGACTGGACTTAACCGTTATGTCCTTCATCACTGAATAGCTTGGTAAGTCTCACTCACTATCTTGGCTCACATATAAATAATAGCCACAGGGGCCAGGTACCAGCATTCATATACCTTCTGCATATTTGTGGATGCTGCTATTGCACAAAATAGCATCTGGTGTTTGCCTCAAATGCTATACATAGTCACTACACTACTGCTTCCAACATTATAAGTTATCTAAATGTGTCATAAAGACCAATTGGATGAATAGCCTATGAGTTGCTAACAATGCAATTAGATTTTTAAAAAAAATATCATTTGTTTTGGTCATTTTAGTTTTTTTTACACATGACAAAATCAGTAGGAGTTTGGAGGGGGAGTCCGGGGGCAGGGATTCTTCCTACTCAGCTCCTGTTAACCCTGCAAGTCAAAGCCGTAGCAGGTAGTGTGGTCCTGGCTGAACAAGCAGCAGGACATAAAGCAGGTTATGTCCTGGGAGAGAATAATAAGACTGCACATTCCTTAATAATACTAATAATAGTAACAAGTTGACTGCTCACTCACTTCATTCTAAGACAGAGCAATTTTCAAGTGTGTAAATTTCAATCTTAAGCATAGTGTGTCAGCCACCTGACACGTATGAATCCCCCCCCAAATCCTGTTTGCCACTCCTGCATAAATATAACAAATTGGGAGTCCCGTCGCTCGGTGGTTAGAGCACTCGCTTTGCAAGCGAGAGACCCGGGTTCGATTCCCGGCAGAGGGCGAATCCTCGGGCAAGTTTCCTGACTCCACACGCCTGACAATAATCCCTCCAAAAAAAAAAGAATTGGGTCATTTCAACCCACGACTGTTGGCGGGACGCTGCTGCGGGCAATTGGCTGCCGCATTTTCTCCCACACAAACAGAGAGTCGGGGCACTTTGCGGTCTGTTCCGCGAAGCGCTCTTTGGGTCGTTGAGAAGACGCGATAAGGCGCCATAATCAAAACTGCAGGCGGTTACCGTTATTATGGAGTCCTGTAGCTCAGTGGTTAGAGCACTCGCTTTGCAAGCGAGAGACCCGAGTTCAATTCCAGGCAGAGGGCGAAACCTTGGGCAAGTTTCCTTACTCCACACAGAGCCTAATAATAATCCCTCCAAAACCAAAAACAATAATAAATTGGTCATTTTCAATCTACGACTGTTTGTGGGACATTGCTGTGCGCAATTGGCTGCCGCGTTCGCCCTCAAATATACAGTCAATTCACTTTACAGTGTGTTCTGTGAAGCGCTTTGGGACGTCCTCCGGACGTGAAAAGCGCTATATCAAATGCAAGGATTGTTATTATTATTATTATTATTATTATTATTCCATTCCAAACCGCGGGGAATTTCCAACCGCGGGTGGAACGCATCGGGACTCAGTCCGGTTTGGATGCCCTTAAACACGGTGATGCGTTTCCACACGCGTGTGCGTGTGTGTGTGTGTGTGTGTGACTCCCCCCTTCCCCCCCCACTCAGTGACCTGAGACAGACTGGGAGGGGGGGAACCACGTGACGGCCACGCGGGAGCGCGCCCCCCCCCCTCCCCTCCCGCGCATGCTCGGCCGCGCGTGCGCAGCGCGACGGCTCGGGCTGTCACGAGTGCGCGCCGGAAGTGGTCGTGCGACGCCGCGCGGAGTGCGACGCGGCGCGGGGTCCGGCGCGAGAGCTGAGAGCCCGAGAGAGTGACTGTCAGCGGCCAGTGCTCCCCCCCTCTCTCACTCCCTCACTCACTCCCTCCCTCTCCCCCTCTCTCCCTCTCCTCCCGCCCTCCAGGATGCCCAAGAAGAAGACCGGCGCGCGGAAGAAGGCTGAGAGTCGGCGCGTCCGCGAAAAGTTGAGTCGAGCGGCCCGGGACAACGTGGACGTGGCGAAACATCCCTGCAATATCAGCATGGTGAGCCCGGGCCCGCCAGCTCAGCTCAGGGCAGGACAGGGCAGGACAGGACAGCACAGCTCAGCACAGGACAGGACAGGACAGGACAGGACAGCACAGGACAGCTCAGCACAGACAGCACAGCACAGGACAGGACAGGACAGCACAGGACAGCTCAGCTCAGGACAGGACAGGACAGGACAGCACAGCACAGCTCAGCACAGGACAGGACAGCTCAGCACAGGACAGCACAGGACAGCTCAGGACAGCTCAGCTCAGGACAGCACAGGACAGGACAGGACAGGACAGCACAGGACAGGACAGCACAGCACAGCTCAGCACAGGACAGCTCAGCACAGGACAGCACAGGACAGCACAGCACAGCACAGCTCAGCACAGGACAGGACAGCACAGGACAGGACAGCACAGCACAGCTCAGCACAGGACAGCTCAGCACAGGGCAGGACAGCACAGGACAGCTCAGCACAGCTCAGCACAGGACAGCTCAGCACAGGGCAGGACAGCACAGGACAGCTCAGCACAGGACAGCACAGGACAGCTCAGGACAGCTCAGCTCAGGACAGCACAGGACAGGACAGGACAGCACAGCTCAGCACAGGACAGGACAGGACAGCTCAGCACAGGACAGCTCAGCACAGGACAGCTCAGGACAGCTCAGCTCAGGACAGGACAGCACAGGACAGCACAGCACAGCTCAGCACAGGACAGCTCAGGACAGCTCAGCTCAGCACAGGGCAGGACAGGACAGCTCAGCACAGGACAGCTCAGCACAGGACAGCACAGCTCAGCACAGGACAGGACAGCACAGCTCAGCTCAGGACAGCTCAGCTCAGCACAGGGCAGGACAGGACAGCTCAGCACAGGACAGCTCAGCACAGGACAGCTCAGGACAGCTCAGCTCAGGACAGGACAGCACAGGACAGGACAGCACAGCACAGCTCAGCACAGGACAGCTCAGGACAGCTCAGCTCAGCACAGCACAGGACAGCACAGCTCAGCACAGGACAGGACAGCACAGCTCAGCTCAGGACAGCTCAGCTCAGGACAGGACAGGACAGCTCAGCTCATACAGCTCAGCACAGGACAGCACAGCACAGGACAGCACAGGACAGCTCAGGACAGGACAGCTCAGCACAGCACAGGACAGCACAGCTCAGGACAGGACAGCACAGCTCAGCACAGGACAGCTCAGGACAGCTCAGGACAGGACAGGACAGCTCAGCTCATACAGCTCAGCACAGGACAGCACAGCACAGCTCAGCACAGCTCAGCACAGGACAGCTCAGGACAGCTCAGCACAGGACAGCTCAGCACAGGACAGCACAGGACAGCACAGCTCAGGACAGCACAGCTCAGCACAGGACAGCACAGGACAGCTCAGCACAGGACAGCACAGCTCAGCACAGGACAGCTCAGCTCAGCACAGGACAGCTCAGCACAGCACAACACAGCACAGCTCAACACAGGACAGCACAGCTCAGGACAGCACAGCACAGGACAGCACAACTCAGCACAGGACAGGACAGCTCAGGACAGCACAGCTCAGCACAGCACAGGACAGCTCAGGACAGCACAGCTCAGCTCAGCTCTGCCAGACCCTGGCCGATGTTTCTGTGTAGTTTGCTGCCATAGGATGGCTGTACCCCCCCCAGTTTGGATCCAAACTCTTCACTGCCCTGCAGTGCCTTGGGACGTCCTCCCAAAGTGAAAGGCCCTTCATAAACAAGTTCAGTTTCTGTTGGGAAGAGCAGACTGAGAGCGCAAATATTTGAGAAGAAGGATGTGCAGCACGGAATTGTACACATGATTTTGCTATTGCCAGGAAACAAGCCTCCTGCAGGTTGTCTGTGTTAAGTTAAATACTCCCTCTTGTACAATAAGGCACTTATAAAATTTACTTTGGGGGCTGGGGAAGAACTGACTTACTTTTTTTCATGGGGTGTGACTTGTAGCTCATCGATTTGTAAAACTTGAATCAAGTGCCACTTTCCTGAAGGCCTTTGATTCCTGAAGGCTTTTGACAACTTTTTTTGTGTGCTGGGGATTCTACTCATGCTGGTTGCTCATGTCTGAGTCTTGACAGTGAGATTTGGCAGGCAATTTATTTGACTGGGAGCATCATCGCTAACCATGATCCTTTCCTCACCCTACATGTACAAACAAACACCAGACACCAGGAGTTCCTGGCTGATTTTTCTTCCTTTTAACCCAGTCGTGCTTTGCATCAGTTGTGACTTGAAAGTGACTGCAGGGAGAGAGGGAGGGCTCTGACATACATGTACTTACTTACCTGTCGCTCAGCACCCTGATAATAATAATAATAATCCTTGCATTTGATGTAGCGCTTTTCACGTCTTCTCGATGTCTCAAAGCGCTTCACAGAATAGACTGTAAAGTGAATTGACTGTATATTTGTGGACGAATATGGCAAGGGTGGCGTCACAGCAGTCAATTCTTTTTGGCAAAGCAAAATCAGGTAACTGCCTTGATATCACTCACTGGTACGAATCCTTCGGATCACAGTGAGAAGAGGAGAATGATTCTTGTTTCTGTTCATTGACAACAAAATCCCAGTGTAGCTGACTATGTCCAAACAGTTCTCATTCACGATTCCGAGCTCTTGGGAGTGCCGGGGCGGGTGGGGACATTTTGTATAGCACCTATCACATCGGGAGCACACTCCTAATTGCTTCAAGGATATACTTTAAAGTGCAGTGATTGTTTTGTGAGTGAATGCAGTGAAGTGAATGACCTATTAGGGGATTGCTGGCCAGAACACCAGGAGAGAGAATCTCCTTTCTCTTTTCGAATCGTGCCATGGGATCTTTAACGTCCCCTTAAATAAGCAAATGGGACCTCGGTTTAATGTTTAACGACACCTCCAACAATGCAAGAACAATAACAAAATTACATTTGCATAGCGCTTTTCATGTCGAGAGGACTTCCCAAGGAGCTGGACAGTCAGAGTTTCGAACCTGAGCTGGGGTTCAGAATTGGTGAGGGCAGGGAGGGAAGCGGGGTGATCGAAAGCACGGTCGAAGAGGAGGGTCTTGAGATGGGTTTTGAAGGAGGCAAGGGAGGGACTGCAAGATGGATTTCCAGAGGGTGGGGGCAGAGTGGCAGAAGGCCTGCCCACCAATGGTGGGGCGGGCGAGGCGGGGGACGTGAAGCAGGCCGGAGCTCGCTGAGTGGAGGGAGCGGGCAGCATGGTAGGGGAGTTAGGAGGTCGCAGAGGAAGGGGGGAGCAAGACCATGGAGGGCTTTGAAGGTGAGACCATGATCTTGAACTGTATCCTCTGTGATGGGAAGCCAGTGGAGTCGAGCGAGGATGGGGGTGATAGGGTCACGGAGCCTAGTGCAGGAGAGCACACGGGCTGCAGAGTTCTGGATCATCTGCAGCCTATGGAGGGAGGAGTTGGGGAGGCCGACAAGCAATAGTTTGCCTAGTCAAGCCTTGATGTTATGAATGTGTTTATGAGGGTTTCGGCGGCCTGTGATTCACACACTCTTTCTTTTCTTTTAAAACAGGAATGTGATAAATGCCAAAGGTGAGCAGTAACCTACAATTATTATTCTTGCTATATTTCCTACTGTGATAGAAAACAGTTTATAGGATTTGCCTTTGTCACGTAGGGTATAATGTGTTATCCTGTATTTTGTATCTGTTGCATGTACTATATGTCCTATGATATCAAAATGATCGTGGTTTTCTCCAGAAGATCAAATATTGAAGCCAGAAATACTTTAATTTTCAGTGACTGTTTTAAAAATAATGATAATCAAATACAGTGACTTAATAATAAAATACACTGAAATCTGGAACGCAGTTAAATATTGTACATACTTTAAGATTCATATGGAAGTGTTCTGCAGTGTACCTACAGCAGGTGCTTATTGATTTTCAGGAGCTAATACTATTTGTTTCCCTTGCTCACTTTCAGACGGCAGAAGAACCGAGCCTTTTGTTACTTCTGCAGTTCGATACAGAAGTTACCGACATGTGCGCACTGTGGTAAGTGATATATTGATCAGAAAGTACTTCTCTGTAGTGGTTGCATTTAGTTAGAAGGACAGTGTGCTGGAAGATGCTGTACTCTGTTTGGTGTTGGTTTGCGTAGCATCGGAGTTGTGTGAATCCTGAATTTTTAAAACAAAATTATTTGCCTAAAGTCCCACTGATGACTTCCAACTCAGTGAAGTCCTGGTTGTAATGTTCAAATGATACATGCATTTCATGGGCTTTTCTTGCTTTCAGACTCGCCCTTTATGGGGCTTTTGTTTTTCTTGAAGTTGGGTTACATCTATGAGTAGGTGCTAACTGGAAATGTTGCAAATTTTAGATTCTTGCCAAATGGGTATCAGGTAAAAGGCAGATACAAGAAAAATAACTTGTGAATTTGCTTTAAAGAGCATCATTCTAAGGAGATTTTGTGGGCCTGAATAATTTTATAGATTCTATTGTGGTGGAGATGGAAAACAATATTTGGAGACTTATTGTCTCTTTTAGGAATCATTTCAATTGTTGATAATATTTTATTTTAAAAAGAACATGAACTTTTAAATTGCTCCTTTGTTTTTGTTCATAGGAAAAACAAAATGTATGTTAAAGACTTCTGATTGCGTTGTAAGGCACCCTGGCGTCTACAGTACAGGACTTGCCATGGTGGTGAGTATTCAGTAGAGTATTAAACAGGATAATCAGAGGAATTTCCCTTACGGTTGTATTACATGGAATATCCAGTGTCAGACAATGCACTCACATCATCTGTATTTTTGTCCTTCGTTAACAGAAGTTGGAAATGTGTGTGTCGATGATGTTCACGTGTTTCGTTATCTCAGTTTAACTTCATTTCTGTATTGACTTAGCACATTTTTAATGCAGATTTGACTTTAGCTGCCTGTGAAAGGAAGATGGCCCAAAAGAACAAGAATTGTTAGTCAAGGTTCTACTGATGAAGATTACAAAAACGGTAGACATGAATTCATATGTAAAACTGCATAAGTGGCGAATGCAGGAGTGTTTGCCACATTATGGAAGTGATTCCGGCTGTGGTTTGTTGAGTTTTGCCAATTTGGCTGGCAACTCTGAAGCCAACAAAGCAATATAGTCATTTTGTTAGAAATGGTAAACATGAATTACATGTTAAACTAAAGCTGAACGACTGTTGCATTTTCTTTCCTCCAGGGAGCAATTTGTGATTTCTGCGAAGCCTGGATATGCCACGGGAGGAAGTGTCTAAGCACACATGCCTGTATCTGCCCCCTTACAGATGCTGATTGCATTGAGTGTGAGAGAAGTGTGTGGGATCATGGTAAGACTTTCCCCTCTAAAATAAGGTAGATTTTTGCACAATTTGTTTATGATAGATGTATGCTGAAAAGCCTTACAATATAAAATATATAAATGGAAACTGTTGTTGTTAGGCACATATTTTAAATAGAAATCAGAGTATTACTGAGTGTGGATGACATCATGTGGGAAAATGTCCCTATTCCACTTCATCCCTCCTCCCAGTTTCTCAATCGTCCCTTTGTCTTTATGAAACATGATGAATGTCACACTTTTGTTGAGGAATTCATGAATTGTTTTAAAAAGCAAATTGGATATAAGCTTGAATAAGATAAATATTAAAAGACATGGGTGGTGGTGGTGTGAGGGTGGGAGGTGGGGGGCAGACACGGGACAAGGGGAGTGGATTAGATTTGGAGAAATACACCAGCAGAGACCTGATGGTCTAAATCAGGGATGGCCAACTTGCCGTTATTGGCGCATTATACATGTGTAAAATAGTTATGCAGGCCCCTGGTCTAAATGGCCAGTTTCTGTGCTGAACCATGTTAAGAACTTGGCTGTTATAGTGGAGCTTCTTTTTAATGTAGCCCAGGCATTATTGAAATTAATACTACAATAAATAAGTAAACTAGAATAAATAAGTAAAAAGGATTTTATAGACAAATATGTGGGACGTCCTCCTGACGTGAAAGGCGTTTATAAATGAAATCTTGTTGTTGTTGTTGTTGTTGTTGTTTGGTGAAATGTATAAATACAAATGTAATTTGGTGGTGGTGATGGGCTGAGTGATCTTTTGTCTTTCTGACTTCTCTTCAGTTCATACTTGTACTTTAAATGTAGACTACATTGTGTGAAACCCATGGCAGATATTTGGTTGCAAACAGAGTTTGTGTCCAGAGTAGATCAAAAATTCCCGATGAATGAACACAACTTAAGGCAGGCAATGAAAGCCTCCAAGATCGTATGCTTAGTTTATACAATGCACCACAGTGTGGTGCAAGTAGTGTATGACAATAAAACGTTGTAATGTGAAGAGCAGCGCTTAGTGTTAAGAATACAGTATTACAACAGTGCTATTAATTTTGCTCATTTTAAATGAAAGTCTTAAGCCCTTCATCATGGCGGGTGCAACTCTGACTATCTGCTAATTATTTAGAAAATTTAAATCAGAAGAAAGCAATGTAATACAGCTATATCGGTTGACAAATTTAGAATGAATTTAAGTAGGAAATATGGCATTTGCCTTCTGCAAATGAGGAATCAGTAAATGTAGATGTGGTTAAATTCGTTGCTGGTTTGTTTGTTAAATATTGTAATATTAGGATATATTCAAACATTTGTTTCCTTGTTTTAGAAAGTGGAAACGCAAAGCATGTTTATGTTGAAGTGACTGTGTATGAAAGAATTTGCTGTTTTTAATTCTTACAACTTATTAAATCACGTTGGAAAGCAGTGCACGCTTTCCAACATGATTTAATACATTTCACCAAACATATTTGTCTATAAAATCCTTTTTACTTATTTATTCTAGTGATAATTTCAATAATGTCTGGGCTACATTAAAAAGAAGCTCCACTGTAACAGCCAAGTTCTTAACATGGTTCAGCACAGAAACTGGCCATTTAGACCAGGGGCCTGCATAACTATTTTACACATGTATAATGCGCCAATGACGGCAAGTTGGCCATCCCTGATTTAGATCATCAGGTCTCTGCTGGTGTATTTCTCCAAATCTAATCCAACTCCAAAGCAATGGATTCCTTGAATGGGATAATTTTTAAATATTAAGAACCAATATTCAGGACAGGCAACTAGCATTTTTTTTCTGTCCCGCATACTTCATAATTCTGTTTATTCCTATGTATTAACATATTGTGTATTGCATCTATGATTTACTATTGCATCTATGCTTTACTATTCTATTTCAGCCACTACACCTCAAAATCACTGAAACTCATTGCCTAAATTCCTCTATCCTATCCCCATCTTTAAATCACACCTGAAGGCTTTTCTCTGCGTCTGTGACTTTGGTCACTTCCCCTCCCTTTCCAGCTCAGCGTCAAGCCACGGCCCTGTTAACCGTTCTGAGACGCTACCTGTGTGAAGGGCACTATAAAAATTTAAGTTGTTGTTATCGTAGTGTCTTATTCTGAAATAAATTTGTTATTTGGGGAGTAGGTTATCCAATTCCAAAATGATCCATTCTGCATTGGTCATTTAACAGTTTAGTGAGGAATTTAGAGATGGTGCATTTGTATTTAAACCTGCCTGGGCTTGTTGCTCTTTGTAGTCTACGTGAACCATTTAAAGTACTATTATGAATTGAAGAAGGTCAGAAGGATAAAAGATCACTTTCATGTGTCCTGAGAGGCATCTTTTCACCCTCAGAAAATTCATAGTATTCCCAACGTTGAGTGCCTTTTTACTGCCCTGCCATGTCTACAACCTTCTCCGTGTTACCCAAACAGGAGGAAGGATATTCCGCTGCTCTTTCTGCCACAACTTCCTCTGTGAAGATGATCAGTTTGAACACCAGGCAAGCTGCCAAGTCTTGGAAGCTGAAACCTTCAAGTGTAAGTACAAAAACAACAAAAAATTACATTTGTATAGCGCCTTTCACGTCGGGAGGACGTTCCAAAGTGCTGGTTTTATATGTAAGATTGACAGTTTTCTTGTTTATCAAAATAAAACGCAAATAAAATGTTTATTTTAAACGAAAAAGACTGGATGACATCATAATAATAATAATAATCCTTGCATTTGATATAGCACTTTTCACGTCTTCCAGACGTCTCAAAGCACTTCACAGAATATACTGTAAAGTGAATTGACCGTATATTTGTAGGCGAAACGCGGCAGCCAATTGCGCACAGTAGTGTCCCACATACAGTCGTGGATTTAAAATGACCAGTTTATTATTGTTTTTGTTTTGGAGGGATTATTGTTAGGAGTATTGAATAAGGAAACTTACCCAAGGTTTCGCCCTGCCTGGAATTGAACCCAGGTGTCTCGCTTGCAAGGCAAGCGCTCTAATCACTGAGCTACAGGACTCCACATATAAATCCTTGGCGTCTGGTTTAGCCTTAAGATTATTTGTGTAGAGCTTTGGAAAGTTCTTAAGTTTGCTGCAGTTCTTAAAAGCACCAACTTCCAAATTAACACTGAATTTAAGAATTTTCCAAAATCTTGCACAAATTTTAATTTGAAGGCGCTGTAAACTCAAATCAGATCATTCCAGTTCACTTCTTGGTGAACGATAGCAAACAGAAGATATTTGTATGGAATACATTAGAATATACAGCACAGAAATGGAATGGTTAGTGTCTCTCAGAGGAGGCACAGAAATGGAAATATGATGCTGACAGGGCCCACAGCAATTTGAGTGCATTTATAATTTATTTATTATTGTTGTTGTTATATTGCTTACAATCTTATCTTAATTTCTCGACAGGCATTTCTTGTAATCGCCTGGGGCAGCACTCCTGCCTACGTTGTAAGGTAAAACTGTCTGAAACTGTTTTGTGTTTCTGTTGAGTGAGTAGAATTTGAAAACCAGAAAATTGTCATTTGGTTGTAATGAGCTGGTTAAGTCCTAACTTCCACAAAATTTGTAAATGGCTAATTAGAATTTATGAAGGCCTTGAAAAAGAGTTTTGAGATTGGGCTGGAAAGATGGTGCTTTGCTCTTTGGCCTTTTGTTTCATACTTTGATGTCTTTCGGAAGTCCATTTTGCAGATATTTAGACCCCTCTGTGTAGATACATTTGTTTTGTGAATTGCTGTTTACATTGAAGTATGAGTCCATATAATTTGCTTCTGTATGATGTGAGCTTTCTGCTCCATTTCCTTTCTCAAAGGCTTGTTACTGTGATGACCATGTTCGCAGCAAGGTCTTCAAACAGGAAAAGGGGAAAGCGCCTCCTTGTCCTAAATGTGGTCATGAAACGCAGGAGACAAAGGATCTCAGCATGTCCAGTAAGTTCAGTTACTACTTTAAATGGCTTGTCCAAACCCATGTCTTCAAATCATTTGTGTTGAGATGTCAGCCACATTTCCTTTATTAGCATCAATGCTGCAGTGAGTCTTACATCACTGAGAAATCCTATAGTGTTGACTGTATGGCATTTAGACCTTGGATTCCATAGTGGTGTTCAGAGCCTGCATCCTGTTCGACCCTCAGCTGTCACTCATACCCCACATCCGTGTCACGACCCGCTCTGCCTTTCCCCACCTCTGCAGTGTTGCTCGGCTCCGCCACTGTCTCACTCCGCAGGCCGCCAAGACCCTCATAAATGCATTCATAACATCCAGGCTCGACTACGCAAACTCCCTGCTTGTTGGCCTCCCCAACTCCTTGAAGAGCTGTAAATTTCTAGGGCTTCTGTTTTTTGGTGTTCATTAATTTCATTTGGGGGGACGATTTTAGCTTTTGAGTTCTATGTAGATGTTCAAAATTTGGGGATTTTTGGGGCTTTCGCTTTTTATATAAAAAGCCTTTGTATGTGAGAGTAGGGAGGCACTGCACATGTGCTTGTCTGTGAGCGGAGGGAGGCACTACGCAAAAATTAGAAGCCCTAATTATAAAGCGACATTGTTATAGTGTGATGTTTCGATCCATAAAATTAGATGCCTTGTGATAACTGCGTCATGATAAAAATGGACCCTGACCTGCTTCTAGGTCATCAGATGGCTGCTGATTGCTGCTGTCACTTACTGTTTTCTACATTATGTGTATAGGAAGCAGGTGGGTCAACCACAACTACAACTCACAAGAGCAGTCGGCTGACTGACCACAAGTGTATTATAGTTTGGGCAGCTGGGTTCCACAGGATGTCCGCATTCTGGTAAACTCAAGCTGGTAGAACAAGATCATTTTGGAGAATTGCAATATTTTATTTTAGAATTGGCAACTTTGTAAATGGGATTATACCCTTAAAATGTTGCAAGAAAGTGAGTGTTACTTTTGGTGATGATACTGCAACACTGCAGATTGTGGGACCAAATGGAGCTGACTCTGCTTTGTCCTATTTTTGTGGCCAAAGCACTGAACTAAGAGTGGAGGAACAAAGCCTCCGTGAATGGGCAGTGGGACCAGCAGTCTGCTTGCCCTCCCCCGGTCAAGGACTTTCGACATTACACCGGTTGTTTGGTTTTTATTGTTGCGACATTCAATAGATGAAAATTACATCAAAGTTGATATCGTTCTGCAACTTACCATATCAATCACCCCCACCCCCCACCCCCCCACCCCACCCCACACAGACACATTTATTATCAGTGTGAGGAATAGGTTGAAGAACTGAGCGGAGCCATTGGGATTTGAACTTTGTGGTCCTGAGTCCAATGCTTAACTGTTTGAGTTACTGGGGATATTATAATTTAGAATGAAAGTGAAGCTGATAAAGAATAAATGCAGGCAACCCTGTTATGACATGGTTAACTGGATCTAATATTTCAGAGGTTGTGTTAAAATAAATTGTGAAGAAATAGCACAGCTTTGCAACTGTGCATCCTTCACAAGGTGATATCAGTAGGGCTTCTTGCATAAAGTGTGCACAAGCAGTGCACAGACAGTGTTGTCAGCAGTGCTTCTTGCACTTAGTCTGTATGTATGCTGAAAGTGACATCCAAGACGCTTCATGTACATTACACAAACATTCAACACACAGAAAGTAACACCAGTAGTAACTTGCCAAACCTTAATTCAGCTTTTTTTTTAGCAAAGGAGCCAGAGGTACAGTGCTTCCAGTATAGTGGGGCCCACAGTGGACTTGAATCTGCGCTCGACCAGGGCCCATCCTAATGTATCACAATAAAATTATTGTTGTCGGAGCAGCTTCATCGCTGTCAAAGGAGTGAATGAACTACAAGCGTTTTGCATTAGAATGTAGCCTTTAGCCGCTTGGATTCCAAGAATTATAATGATGCTGGATATTGGATTTGATGCAAAAAATGTATGCAATGAGATTCCCCCCCCCCTGCCCCACCCCTACACAGACACACACACGTGCACACATGCCACATCAATTTAGAGTGTTTGAGCTGACACTTGTCTTTTGCCTTTAGCTCGTTCAGTGAAGTTTGGTAGACAGGCAGAAGCTGAAGAAGATGGTGCTTCTGGTTATAATAATTACTGGAAAGATATGGGGTCCGGAAGAGGCTACACTGGTGAAGATGATGACTTTTGCGAAGACGATGAGGACTATGAAGAAGAGGACGAGGAGGAAGTCGAGGATAAAACAGAGAGTGGGGTTGAGAGTGAGACCAAAAGCTTCAGTGACACATTTGCTGGTCTGAATTTGGGGAGAACATATGCAAGTGGGTATGCACACTATGAGGAATCGTAGGGCCAAAGCATTGCACACTCAGAAGATGGTTTGTAACTTTATATTTAAAAACGTGACTTCAAGTGATGCGTTGAAATAAATGGTTGAACATCTGTGGTGTCAAATGTATGTTTTTAAAACCATGTCTAATAGACCCTTTCTTTAACTCCAACTCCCTTGAATAAACTTAATTTGCTGTTTCATTGATACAGTCCAGTTATTCATCTCAATAGAAGTAATGTTTTCTGGCTGACTGGCTGGTATGTTGCAAAATATGGACATTGAAATGCCTCAAATCCTACGTTGGCTAGAGAAATTTGCTATGGTAATAATTTTCTCAGAAGCAATTTTTTTTATGTTAAGTTGTGAGGTGCTTGACGTTTTCTGTGTGTCAGGAAGGAAAGCGCGTCTCTTACCGACCGTGTCCTTAATAACCCCCGGCTCCTGCCACTGCAGATAGTGAACCGCCCGGCTGATTGGGAGAGAGGAGGATTGGGAAGGAAAGTGAGAGAGGTGGGAAAGGGGGAATGAGAAAGACAGGAGAAGAGAGCAGAGCGAGGGAGTGATTTGAGTGCGTGAGGGGTTAGAGTGGTGGGAGAGGGAGAGAGAGTAATTGAGAGTGTGAGGAGGAGAGGTTTGAGCAATTGAGATGGGAGAGAGTGTGAGAGGGATGAGGGATTCTGAGAGAGAGAGAGAGAGAGGAGAATTGAGGCCAGTGTTCCATGGTTCACTCAGTACACCAATCGGAGCTTCCTTCGGCCATCGCGGTGGGTGGGGAGGGGGGTTCGAGCACAGACACCGAATGAGGTCCCATGCAGTTTCCTCACAGAAAGCTCCCTCTTTCCCCAGTGAAAAACTTTTCTACGTCCTTCATTCCAACCCCCCTCTGCGACCCCCTGACCTGGATGTTCCTTTTGCAGAGAAAATACCAGCTTGCTTTATGTCCCCCCCCACCACCCCATCTGCCCCAACATCGCCATTTTGCCCCCACCCACCCGCTCTCTGGAGGTCCTTTCCTGAAGTCCCTCTGACTGCCTACCTCACCACTTTCAAGGCAGATCAAGACGTAACTGACCACACTTTCGGTCATCTTTTGCCCTCCCCATCCCACCTCCCTCAGCTCCCATCCCCAACTCAGGCGCCAGCTGACAGTGTCAAGTGCTTTGATATGTCATGCCAACATGAAAAAGGTGCTGTTTAAACATTGTTATGTTTCTGGAAGGGATGCACAAAATTTGCTTTCTCAAATAGGGAATCCAGCCCGCGGCAGACCAAAGTTAGGACCACTCAGCACTATACTGTCAGATACTCTCATCGTTCACAGTATTAAGGTCTCAATCTTTAGTTAAATTGACATATTTTTAAGTTTCTAAGGATAGTAACGAATCGACTGCCATCAGACTGTTTGCTGACAGTCTGACCCCGCTGAGCAGACTTTGAACCGCGGGCTTTAAGTGAGCGCATGCAAAGCTGTGCTTTCCCTGATTTAACACATGGTATGCATGCAACTCTGAAGCCTGACTTCACTGCTCTAAAAATAGTGCTGCCATTATAATAGTGTTGCAGCTGTTCTATTATATTAAACTACTCAAAAGAGAACTCGATCTTGTGATAAAACCTGCATCTATCCTTTTGCACCCTCGACCTATATGAAAGCTATAAATTTTGGTGGTTTTCCCATGATCTCAATCCTCTGCCATGTGTTCCCCAACAACACGCTGCCAACTTGTGCCACAAGGTTTTGCTGCCTTGCTCTTCCACTTTCAACTCGGAAAGATGACAACTATATGTTATTTCAAATCAACGTAAAACCTTTATGCACAATGTTTGTTTCACAGAGGAATAAATGTTTATGTCAGAGTGAATGAGTGCCTCAGGGAGGCACTGGCAGGCACATTCCTGCATGTGGTATGTCACATTTTCGATAATTGGCATTTGTTAGGTTGTTCAGTCATTTTGTTTTGGAGGGCCTTATTACATTTGCTGTGAATAGAGTATAGGTAAACTTGACAATTTTCAATAGTAACCTATATTTGTGTTTCTTCCAATCTCTGCAAATTGACTGAAAGTGTAACTGAAAATGTAGATCTAGCCTTGGATGCTGTATATTTGGAATTGCAAAAGGCATTTGGTAAAGTGCTGCATGGAAGTAGAGAAACTCGGGGCACATGGAATAGGGGGAAACATGGTCATTTGGATAGAAAGGTGGTTGAAGGATAGAAAGCTGAGAGTAGGGCTTGTTTTCCTGTTGGAGGAAGTAACGAGTGGAATGCCACAGGGGCCTTTTCTTTATTCCATATATATATCAATTGCCTTGATTTGGATATAGGGACATGTACGGTAAGTTTGTGGATGATATGAAACTCGGAAGTAAGGTGAATAGTGATGAGTGTGGCAATAGACTGCAAGAGGATTTAGGATTAGGAAAATAATAATATAATCCATTCAGTTGATATTGTGCCTTATCATGTATTTGAGTCGTCTCAAAGCTACACAATAGGCTGATCAAGGCAAATTAAGTTTAATAAAGCAAAATGTGAGGTGATTAATTTTGGATGAAAAAAAAAGGAAGGGATAATGTATTGAATGCCAGTATCTTGGAAGGAGCAAAAAGATTTGGGAGTTCAGGTGCATAAATCATCGAAAATGGAATCACAAAAGTGTCTTTTTCTGTGTTGACTCCAAGGTCTAGTGGTTTCAGCCACCACATAATCAATCTCACAGAGACTAATTTAGATTAGCAGTTTATTATCAGCACTGCAAGGGTACAGAAAATACATGGTTACTTAATCTGGAGAGTACAGTGCCTTCAGCTCACTGTTGTTGAGTCTGCTCTCTACAAACAGCAACTACTCTTGAGTTACATTTATACCCAACTTGATCTCAACGTTCAGAATTTAGCATCTTTTTAATTATGGCTGCAAAGCGCTCTGGGACTCTACCCTGTGTGAGGTACCATGCAACAACATGTTGCTGCAGCAAAGCCATTTGCTGTATTCCTGCCAGGGCGAAATGTTGGCCATGTTTCCTTACTCCACACGCCTCTGTTTACCTAGCAGTAAGTAGGAACTTGGTTGTTAGTCGATTGGCGGATTGCTTTTCCGGGGATAATAATTTCTTTAAAAAAATTGGTCACTGTAATCCACGACTGTTTGTGGGACACTGCTGTACGCAATTGGCTGCCACGTTTTGTCCACAAAATACACAGTCAATTCACTTTACACTATATTCTGTGAAGCGCTTTGAGATGTCTCGAAGATGTGATAAGGCGCTATTTCAAATGCAAGGATTATTATTTAGTTATCACATACAGTCTGTCTTATTTCTGCATACTAAGACCATCTTGTTATAGATACCTCTGCCTTAAAAAAATGCACCAGACAAAAGTGAGAACATTAACTACGAAAAAGACAGCATCTAGCAAGGTTAGAAAAATCACACAAGTCCAATTATCAACAAAATTTCACGTAAAGGTAAAGCAGTACATATAACCAGTAATTTTCCATTATAGCCAAGATGCAAAGCAATACAACAGCACAATGGTCAACTCAACACACTGGTCACTAAAACAACAACTTGTATTTATACAGCGCCCTTCAAGCGACGTAGTGTCCCGGGATATATTATAATACATTAGAATATACAGCTCAGAAACAGGCCATTCGGCCCAACTGGTCTATACTGGTATTAATGCCCACATGAGCCTCCTCCTGCCCTTCCTCAACTAAGCCTTCAAGCATAACCTTCTATTCCTTTCTCCCTCGTGTACCTTTCCAGTTTTCCCTCAAATTCATCTTTGCTATTTGCCTCAACAACTCCTTGTAGCATGTTCCCCATTCCCACTACTCTCTGTGTGAAGAAATTTCTTCTAACTTCCCTATTTGCATCTATTTGTGACTTATTTTATATTGATGGGCCCTGGTTTTGGTCTCTTCCACAAGTGGAAACATCTTCCCTATGTCTACCCTATCAAAACCTTTCATCATTTTAAAGACCTCTATCAGGTCACCTCTTACCCTCCTCTTTTCAAGAGAAAAGAGTCCAAGTATGTTCAGCCTTTCCTGATAGGTATAACCTCTCAGTTCTGGGATGCTTGAAACTGAGCAATGATCTTGAAATGGAGACTATAAAATAGAAGTTCTGAGAAGATAAATTGAATGTGTTGAGAGTAAATCTCCTTTGATTATTCAGTGTGTACCAGAGGATTGTATGGGAAGAATAATAATCCTAATAATAATTGTTGCATTTGGTATAGCGCCTTTTACATTGGGAGAATTTTCCAAAGCCCTTCACAGGATTTTTCTGTGAAGTGCATTGACTGTGCATTTGTGGGTGAATGCAGCAACCAATATGCGCACAGCAATGTCACACAAATAGCCATGAAAGGATTAAGAATTTTTATTTGGGAGATTGTTAGCCAGGACACCAGGAGAAACTCTTCTCTTTTTAAGTAGCCATGGGGTCTCTAACGTTCCCCCTAACAGGCAGACAGGACCTTGGTTTAACATTTCATCCAAAGAACGGCACTTCCAACAATGAAACACACCCCTATCATTGCCAAGTTTCAGCATAGACGAGATGAATTTCAAGTCTTGACGTGGGGCTTGAACCCAAAACTTTCTGATTCAGAGGCAAGAGTGCTGCCAACTGAGCCAGCCTGACAGATAATGAGACAAAAAGAAGACGAAGCAGCATAGTTGGCACATAACTTGGCAGGCACTTTGTGCTCTGAGGCAATTCTATTAAATGTTGTTCATGACTCCAGAAACTTAATAGTTCTTTACAAGTATGTACCAGCAGTGTGCACTTTCGTGTTCATTAACATGCTGAACTAACGTTAGTCATCAATGAGAGCTGAACAGTCAGAGGGTAATTGTCATCCTTGCACAGTTTTACAGTGGGGAAAAAACACTCAATCCACACAATCCCCTAGAAATCATCTCTTCAGTGCTATGCATATGTCACCTGCACACAGGGTCAGTTCACTTTACTGTGAAGGGCTTTGAGACATCTTAACAATGTGATATCGCGATATGTGATAATGCAAGGATTATTATTATTATTATCATTATCATTATTATCCGCTGTACATTTTCAAAATGACGAGCGAGTGCAGCATAGCATGGTAAAACGGGGTCAAGTAAACTGTGATTCCGCGTTGTATGTGTAATGCTTAGCAATCAAAATTGATGCATTCCATGAC